TCATATCTACAATGAGTCTGGTTTTGATTTTCCCATCCTTCTCTTTCTCGATGCACGCAAGCTGCGTCAATTTTGCTTCAGGCCCCACGAGTGCGACCACTTCGGCCCACGTCTCTGCCCTGTCCGCTCGACCGGTTTCCACCATCCTGTCAAGTTCTGCCTGGGCTCTGCTTCCGGCCTCGTAGAACGAGGCATAGTTGGTTGCCTCTCCATCCCAGTCTTCCAGGAGGATGCCCATGGCCTGTGAAGCTTTTATCGAGGCGGACACTTCATCGGTGGCAGGGAACACATTGGTGTGCTCAATTGGCACACTCAGGCCAAGAGGAACGCCCTCATTCAGCCATCTCGGCACAACCTGAGCATCGGCATCGCATGCTGCTTCCAACATAGCTCCCAGCAAGGAGGTCTGGTAGCCTTCGATGTTGGTGGCTTCATTTACCTCAAATTCTTCATGCAAGACCTGCACGGCCTTCTGTACTGTTTCCGGCCTCACTGCCATGCTGTGCTCAAAGTGCTTCAAATCTTGCTCTCCAATGCACAGCTCCAGCGCTGACCGGATTCTATGCCCTGTCGTTCTTAGGGCCTTGCTGTTCGCCACTGCCTTTCTGGGATCTCGAAGACCTCCAACTGCTGCAAAGTTTTCTTCCTCTCTGATCTCGGCCTTCGTCTTCTCCCCATCGAACAACTGAGTCCTCGACGATGGGTCTTCGGCCCGAGCCTCCTTCATCTTCATCTTCTCTGCGGCCAAGTCGTCTCGCCTTCTTTTCAAGGCGTTGAGCTTCTCCTTCATGGCCACCAGTTGGTGAGCCTTGGTGCGCACCATCGTCCGCTTGGCCAGCCATTCGTAGCCCCCCGGACTTTGTAGCCATCTCAGCAATGCTTCCGCCCAGGCCTGACATAGACCAAAGGGGTACTCTGCAGCCCTTGAAGTCTTCCACACCCAATCCTCCGCAATCGGGTCCCATGTTTTTCCTGTCAGGCCTCCAGGAAGATGGAAATGTGGCCTGACATCTTCGCACTTCAACTTGACTCGGCTCATCCAATCGGATGTTGTCACTATCCGAGTGCCCTTCTTGGTGTGTGCCCCGTATGGGCATTGGTCCAGCTCGATGTTGTGGACACCCTTCATCTTCAAGATCTTCTTCATCTTGGGTTGGTCCCAGGCGTAGGATCTTTCCGGGTTCTCCATTGACCAGGTCTTTTCCGCCTCCTCGATCACGTAGATCAGTGCGATGACCTTCTCCAGGATTCTGTTGCCCTCTTCCGCCGTGGGATGACCCCAACCCTCTGGTCTCTCGTCGGTTCGAATCACCGGCACAGCTCCATAGCCGTCCACTCGCCTTGCCCTTGAGAAGCTCCTGCATGGGAAGGCTAGATGTGTGTGGTCCGCCTTCAAGACGGCCTGTCTGGCTCGTGCGAACCCTTCCTCCTCCAGGACGTTCCAATCGCCCTGCACATCCAAGGGGTCCAGGACCTCCACCAAATTCCCGCACACTCTTGTCACTTCTCGAGAAAGCCCAGCTTTCCCGGCAAAGAGTTCCAAGAACTTGTACTTGCGAGTGCTTTCCGGTCTTTCGAACTGGATGTCCTGGGGTGTCTTCATCTGTGGGTCGTCCAACTTCGGCTGTGCAGCGTTCACGGATGGGGCTCCCTCGTGCTCGTCGACCACCAGGGGTGCTTCCATCTTGTTCAGCTCGTCCTCTGCACGTCAGTTCTTGTTCTTGGACTTTCCTTTGCCTTTCCCCTTCGCCTTGGACTGCTTCTCGGTGCATAGGGCGTTTGGGTGCTTTCCCAAACAATGCTGACACGAATGCACTCTTCCATCCTTGCACGGCTCCGGACAATCTCCAGGTTTTCCTTTGGCGAACCTGAAACACAATTCGTGGCCTTCCGCCGTGGTGATGAAGTGCTTTCCCCACTTCTGTGGGTGTCCTCCGCTGTCCGCCCCCCGAGGTTGTGACGGCTCCGCAGTCTCCTTCTTGGCCTTCTTCTGCTTCTTCTTGTGAGCTCCACGGTCTTCGTCGATCCCCAGTGCATCCTTCGCCGGAGACGGGATGTTCACCTTTTCCGCCTTGTCCATCGTCATGTTGCGTCCTCCACGGGCGATGAACATGGTGGCGGGACCAATCACATGTTCGTCCCAGAATTCTCGGTTTCGAGCTGCATAGGTGAAGACCCCAATCCATGGCTGGTTCGGAAGGAAGTCCAGCCCCATCGGAAGTCGGTTGTCTGCCGCTGCCTTCGTGAGGTGATGACGAAACCTCTCGAACATCTCTGAACGACATTTGTCCTCGGCCTTCATGATGAGGTGCCAGGTCTCGGGGAAGTCCTGGTTGAGCTTCGAGACACGGTCGTAGTACTCCTCCAGGCAGGCGGATGTTACCACCTTCAAGTGGTCTCCCCCGGCCACCAACGGTGGATACCTCAGCATGAAGAGGATTGCTCTGAACACTTTCCAGCACGCTTTCCATGCCTCGAAGGACGGTGGTCCAGGGATGTCGAGGGCCTTGAATGTGCCGTCCTGCTGGAGCAACCATGACCTCGTCTTGAGCTGCTTTTGCATTGTCCTGCCGAAGGGGGTGAGGATGCTGAAGTCCGCGTATGGGCTTTCTCCCCTTCTCACTATTCGGTCTCTCAAAGCTGCCACCTGTTCTGAAGTAGGCTCTGCATCGTCGCTCGGCTCTGCTCCAGTCATATCTATATGCCATAGGTGCGCTTGATCCAGCTCTGTACGAGTCATAAGATCGATCTCTGAGTCGTCCATCTGATCTGTCACACTCGACATCTTCACTTTCTTCGAGGGAGAGGCTCCATGATGAGCTGGAGCTGCTGGGGCTGCTGTCGCCGGAGCCGGATCGGCCAGAGGGTCCACATCGGCCATCTGCAGGGATTGCCGGGCAACTCTCCACATATAAGCCACATGAATCATCTCCATGGCTTGCAACTCCCTGCGATTGGGATCGGCACCAACTCGAACAGCCCGCACCGTCTCTCGCAGAGTGCTGGCCGGCAACATCGCAAACAAAGTGGGGCTGCCCACTCCGCCAAGAGCCTGATCTACGGCATGCCACACCTGTTCTCTGCAGGAACAATGTGCACGAATCCGTGCCATCGTATCGAGTCCAGCAAGGGTCGCAGCGTCGGGTAGACCATAGCCGGCCATCACGGCCTAGGAACAAGGCTCCCAGCGTAAGGCAGCAAAGGCGGAAGGCCCAATGCATGCACGCAACGGCTTCCACGAAGCCGGATGGATCCAGAGCCACCGGGTAAAAAGGGCCCCCACCAACACACCACAAGCAAAAGCCACCAGCAGCAGGAGCTCGAGAAACATGGGAGCACCGATCTACACTGGTGCTTGGGCTTGTCTTGAGAGGTAGTGTTACCAAAGCACCTTAAGACAAGACCGCCCTACTCGCAGTTCCACTCCTTACAGTTTTCACTGCACAAACAAGTTTGTTTCACAAAAAGTAATTCTTATTATATATATATATATTTGCATGATTTTGCATGAATGGACATCCCTGATCGTATATATAAAAGGTTTGCAAGGATTGATAGCATTCCATCCTTTTGTGCTTTTTTTCTGTTCTTTCGGGTCATTTGGAATGGATATGATCCAGTCTGACAATGATTGACACCGTTACTTCAGAATTACCATCCAGTATGTGTTTTTGATATTTTTGAGAGAATTTCTCATTCGTCTCATTCGAACATCTGTTGATGGGCCCAGGTTGATCCTCGTATGGATGGTTTGTGGCAAAGCTTGTGGACTCTGCTTATGGAGACATTTGTGTAACTTACGGAGCTTGTATCATGGCGTCCCTTGAGCAAGGACATGTATCAATCTCACCGGATGGTGCTTCATCAACCCCGTCAGTGCTCCGGCCCTCCGCGGATGCTGTGGGGTCCCCCCACAGCGTAGGGCCGATTCTCGCAGCGGTGGCTCCTTCAGTTCATTCTTGGGTGTGTTTGGGTTTCTTTCCATGATGGTCCAACACAGCACATTCCCCCAACCCCCACCCTACACGAAGAAGAACACGGACCTACCAAAGTGTCCAGGTCACCTCTGCTTTGTTCCTCAATAATGAAGAGTGCAATTTCCTTTCATGCCTCTAAATCTGGGGAAGTGTCAGGCTGCACACTGGAAATGCTGAGATTTGTAAGAAATTCCGAAGAGATCGGAGGTTGTCTGCCAATGCCCAGAATGAATAATGCTGCTGTCTATTCAAAGGTCACTAGTTACTAGTTTACTTCGTGGCCTGAAGTTGTGACAAATCGTTCTCATGTCCACTGACGTTCTTGCCAAACCGTTTTGGCTCGAACTAATAATAATAGACGACAGCACAATTTAGCAGGACTCTTAGCAAAAAAGTGCTCCCATCTCCCCCCTATCATCACCAGCCAAATACCACTCCTTCGCAACCCCAAAACCCATTGCTCGTCCATTCACCGTCTGAAGGTGCCACCGTTCGGCCGCACATGGATGTCGCGCGTCGATGGATTTCGGTGAGACGAACGATTTAGGTGAGAAAGGCATAGAAAGGCCACAAATTGGGTGGATCCGACCTGCATGGACCCTGCATGTGTTGCTTCGGCTACAGGTCGCACACATACGCGACCTGTCTGAACTTTTTCGGATCCAGGAAATGAGATGCGACATGGATAAACATTGATAAGCAACCAGCGGCTTGCACTCACACCAACGATCTTCGGTAGAGCCATCGACCCAGGATGGCCCTCGAGGTAGGATGGCCCTCGAAGCCCTTTTGTTTCTTTTGATTCTAGGCCTGCAAGGCCCAACGAAGTGCCTTTCCCCCATGTACTCCAGTGGCGTGCCTCGGGTGAAACGGGACGGACTCGCTTGCGGGTGTCTTAGACATCCGCTTGACATGACTCACCCGTGCCATGAACAGGAGACACCAAGCAAACAAACAAACCTGGGCCCAGGAGCCCCTTTTTGCACCAAAAGCGCAATTGTTGGAGCTTAGTTTTCTGTTAAGCTGGGGGCGGTCAGCAGTACACTCTCTCAACAATTTCGAGTGGACCCATGTAGTCGTGCAATTATTGACGTTTCATTCACAGAAACCGGTGGGCTTTGCGTGATAGCAGGAGCTCCCCCATCGGGGGAAATCTTTCGCGGAGCAAAAAGCCCCTTCCAGTCAAGACGGCAGGAGATTCTGTGAGCTTTGCTCACAGTTGTTCACAGTTGATAGTAGTAGTGAGAACTAGTTTGGAGGCTAAAGGGAGGATGTTTTTCATTGCAAGGCGCGAAGCTCAGGTCTTCTCAGGGTCTTCTGATTCTCAGCTCCTGCAAGTGGCCCCGTGTCAGGGCAAAACTCAGCATCGGTGATCCGATTGAATCGGCGAATCCACGACGAACGAGGTGGGAAGTTCCTGCACCAGAATGTGGAGCTGCCCTTGATTAGAACATGAATTGAAGGATCCATGGTCAGCTCTTTGAGGCCCGACATAGGACCAAAGGAACTAAAGGTAACTTAAAGGTCACATGGTCAATGTCTACCTTTGCATGGATGTATTCATGGCTGACTCTCCGCATACATTGGTATGACTTTGGGTAACTATTGACCCAACTCCAGGGCAAGGGGTAAATCCTGACATGAGACTGAAACTCACAGGAGTGCAGCCAAGAAGAGGTTTTTTTTGTACCAGTAGCGTGAGGTGGTCTGGATATGTCTAGATTGCGTTGAATTGATTTTCAGGGTCTCCTGTCATGATCTTCGTGCCACAGCCTGAATGTGGCCCCAGGCCGATGTGAAGCCTGTGGCCATTCATCGCCTCTGAGAATCAATGGCATCTCGCAAGAATAAAGTACTTTTTTGGAATCCAATGCTGACCAGAAATCGAATCCAACAGGCCAACAGCTCACCCACTGCCCACGGCCCGTCGACCGCTGTAACGACCAACGCCGTTGAAAAGTCGAAGCGACCCACGCTCGACTGAAAGCGTCAGATCGAGCGCCAAGCAAAAAGGAGGCGCCCCATCCAAACCGCTTCAGGTGCCCCAACAAAGCTCCCCCCGAAACAAGAACCACCGTCCTCCCCCCCCCCGACCGCCCCTGGCGCCGCAAGACCGCCCCTTGCGCCGGACGGGAACTCAACCGCGCACCGCGCTGCGGGGGCTCCTTCTCACGCCTCACACCTCGTCGACGCCCTTGATCAGAGCCCTTGGAGGCGAACTCTTGCTACGGGGAATCGGTGGTAGGTGACCTGGAGCTGAGGCGAAGGGGAGCGACGCTGGAGCTGAGTGAAGGGCGCCCGATCTCTTGAGGGGTCGAGGTGCGGCCGTGGTTTCGATGGCTTCGAGATGGAGAAGCATGGCAAGGGGGACGACCGTCAGGTCAGATTGAAGAAATGCAAAGCATCACAGTCGGTCATAGATGACTCAGGCGGTGGTTTCTTTGAAAAGCCGTCCGGATGGATGTTCACTGGATGTCCGCGGGCTCGTCGTGGTGCTTCGTTTCGCGGCCGGCTATTTCAGTGGTTTGATGCCTGTTTCAGCAGCATCTCAGAGATGACCATTTTGCTTTATGAATCTTTATGAAGACCATTGCGGTTTGCCACATTCTTTTGTACAGTGGGAGTGTAGAGGTCACCCCACCAAGAGAGTGAACAAAACCACGTCGGTCACGGGTACCACCGGACGGATGGTCAGGTGGTTTCGGGACACCGAACTGATCACGTCTCGGTCGCAGTTGCACTATGTTGCTCTGAATCCTTCACACCTATCCTCTCAAAGGGGCTCGGCCACCAATCGCTCCGGTTTGGAACCTAATCCGGGTGACCAGGCTGGGCTACCCAGCCCACGCCCCGCGTGGATCTCCATTTGGTGCACCCCTTTGAAAGTTCAGGTGCGAATCTTCTCCCGCCCGACACGGTCGGGCACTGAAACTAGTTTCAAAAGACATAGACAAATAATTCCTGGAGGTGACACTGACACTGGAATCATCCAATGAGATGAACCTGAATATATAGAGATCCTGAATGCAACCCCTTCGGAGAACCCCTTCTGGTTACCCCTTACTTATGGTTACCCCTTCCCTCAAACCTCAAGGATGAACCCGCGTGAAAACATTTGACAGGGCCGGCCTCGGTCCATGCGCTTCACCACCTCCGCGAGGACCTCACAAGGAGGTTCCGCTGGAATGCGGCTGGACAGGGGCTCAAAAGAGAAAACCGATCCTCACGCAGCAAATCCTGGAGCAGTTTTGTCGGGTTCAAGTCCTGTGGCTACAGCGGTCACGGGGCTCTCATGGACCTGGCTGTGATGGTTTAGGTTGATACGGACCACAGTCTTTGGAAGCAATCGATCATGGAACCAAGAGGCTTGTGGTTCCTCAACAGAAGATAGACCCCATATGAAGAGGTTTTGCAATCTTGCAATCTCCCCTTTGAATTCGAAATTATGTGAAACCTTGACTCCCATGCTTATTCGTCCCTTTCGTAGTTGCCTGGTTCCCTGTCTAGTGAATTCTTGTGATTGTGTACGTTTCTTGCCTGTAGGCATGGTTTCACCCCAAATCAACCCACCTGAACCCGCCAGAATACCTGGCAAGGGATAGAGTGGGAGCGTGCGACCGCCCGCGAGTTCGTGCATCCAAGCAGGTGGGTTTTATATGGGTTTATCAGATGGTTTTCAGGGTCAGCACCTGAAGGATGAAATCCTAAACTGCCAGCTTCTCTTTAAGCAGGGCCTCTAGTTCCAGCGTCCTGTCACTTGTCCATAGTCCATAGTCTATGTCTATGCCATTGTTCCACATGGTCCAAAAGTTCCACACTAAACAACTCCCCCGTATTGACTGAACCTCCCAGGTTTGCCCTTGTTTTGTCCAGCCCCAATGAAACCACGATCGCCCCCATCTGTAACACTAGCTCGGGTACCAGTTCAGGTCTCCCAAAACCTCTCTTGGATGCCAGGGAGGCTTCATTCCGTCCCTCCATGCCCTGTCCCCCGGCTCAACGCCCGACTCAGAACGGCCCGGACGTGCGGACGCGCGGACGTGCTCCCGCACTGTGTGGAGGTGGCCGAACTCGTCCGCGGTGAACTTCCGGAGGGTCACCAAGTCCTACATCGAGAGCGGAACAGGAAGAGGAATGGAAGAGATCCATGGCGGGGTGACCAATTGCCCCAAAAAACCGGGTGTAAGCCAAAGTCTTCGAATGAACATGAGAACGTAGACCTGGTGTTCACTGTTCCTGGATCCGGCTCTGTTGGGATTCGGAAGCTGGTCATCTAAGGAGGCCATGCCGTCCAGCCGCCGAACCAAGCGATTCTGAGGGTTCCCAGCCCAAAATCGGACTCATGGCCAAGCGGTTGAACTCCTTCAGCGCCTTACGCGTACGCGTCTTAAGGGTCGAAGGACGATCATCACGAGATGTCACGTTCGCGTTCTTCGAAAGTCATTTGGAACCCTAGGTCTTGAAGAAACTGAATTCTTGAACCGGTTCCAGTTCCAAAGGTCAGAGGGCAGATCGGACCATGGATCCAATAGAATCTGCTAACTTGATCTCAAACTCAAATGGCCTAAAGCTTGCCCCAAAACAACTGACCACCAGCCAAAAACACCTCTCTTATTGGCACACTATCCAGGCCCGTCACCACACCTGAAGCAATTCCTCGACAGGGGCCTGCGGTCTCCACATGCTGCGCATCTTCCCGGATCGGCACCACAGCTTCGCCCTGCCCGCCTTGACGGTGGTCTGATTGGAGCCGCGAAGCATCAACATCCCCTCCAAAAGCCTCGTGACTGGCGAGCACAGCGAGGCAGGCGCCTGCCTTCCAACCGTCAGGATGTTTTCTGGGGCGGGACTCCTGGAGTCCAGGAGTCGGGAAACCTGGTGACTTGGCAGAAGCTGTGTTCAGGCGTGGGTTTCAGACGTTTTGTTTTTCTTCTCTCCTACTTTGGTCGTTACAGCAAACGACCTTCAGCCCACGCACAGCCTTGGGGGCCTTGGACATCTGATTGGGGAAATCGATGTGACCCAAATCAGGGATGCAAGGAGAATGACCCACATCCCCAATAGCAAAGGCTTGTTGTACCTGGAGGCCCTCGGCATGTCTCGGCATGCAGGCACTCGGTGATCTACCGCTAACTATATAATTGAGCCACAAGGAGTTGAAACTGGAACAGCAACCCTAGCAGTCGTGGCCCACAACCCAAACCAAGCAAAGTGGGACCAAGGTGTCTTCTTCAATCGGGCCGAGCGGCTCTCCAAAGGTCAAAGGCTGGCCATCTTCAAAGAGCAACTTGCCTCGCTGCGCTGGAGCATCGGCGGCTTGTTTGTCATGTCCGACCGGTTGGTGGCTCTCGGTGCGGAGCGGAGCGGGTCCGACCAATCGGTGGGCTTCGGGTGGGGTCCGACAGAACACCCAGCCGCCGCGGCACCAGTGCCGTGCTGACCAAGAATCGTCCGCAATGTGCGGAACAGCCAGATTCGAAGATTCTAGAGATGACGTTCTACCACTGTGCTTCTTCAGGTTTCGTCTCCTCCCCTCCTAACTTGATGGATTTGGATCCTCGCTGCGACCGGGATTTCACGCCTCACGGCCCAACTAAGCCTCTGAAGCCTCTGTGGGGTTTCAGCCGCAGTCCTGCCCACAAAAACATCCACTCACATTCACCACAATATGCTCCTTATACCCGTATGGCCCATCTGCTATGCCCCATGTTCAATGGCTATGAAGGATGCTCACTTACCTGGAACTATCCTGGTATGCCCTAAGGATACCTGAGGTATTTACAAAACACAGGCAACGGCATACCCTTTTCATCCTTTAAACACTTTGCATAGTTGGCCAGGTATCATTGACAAAGTGGAGAGCCATCTTGAGTCTTGTGGGGTTGTTTGCACTGAAGGTAGCTCCTCCACCCCTCATCACCAGGAAAAAGCCCTGTCTCAAACATGGCCATAGGTCATGGATACAATCTCAATCAATCTCATGTAGAATGCAATGAAATGCAGAGCTGCTCCCGACACACTCCCGAAACCAACATTGAAACCTGGGGTGCCAAGACTTGAAGGGATGCTTTGAGTCATCTTCTGACTGGTGCTTAGCAGGGAATGAGGGAATGGATCCAATAGAACCTCTATTGGGGGCTCATTCCCTTATTCCCTACGAGTCGCACCAGTCAGTCTTCTTGGTTGTTCACTGTTGTGGATGCACCTGGCTTACGCCTTCCAAATCCATCGTCACACCTTGGATGCACTTGGCAACAGTCCATGGCACGGACCCTGGCGTGTCACCAAGGCACCATACTCCAGGGCCGCATACAGATCCACCCCGAGACGCTGCAGGGCCGCCACCGCATCGGGCTTCTCCAGCAAACGCTCCTCAGTGGGCTTCAGCCGGCCAGGCCGGGCCCCGGTCGCATCGACGGACCGAACCAGCGACAATGGAGCGGAACGCTCCGTAGATGGAGAGCCAAACACTGCAGAAAGCACCTGCATTTGGAAGCCATGAGCCGTCAATGCCCCACAAACAGTCGGGGAAATCGGCCACAGCTGGATTGGATTGTTTCTGCATTTTCAGCATCAAACTGAGTTGGAGGCGCGGTGGTTACTTTGGTGACGCAGCCGAAACGAATCACTTGAAGCCAAGCTGTCTCACTGTCTCATATGCATCCAAATCCACTTGAAGAATCGAACAACCAAATGAATGGATGAATGACTGGATGAATTCATGTGGGAAATCACCATGAACTAATTACATCTAGTCACTAGTCTATAATTAATTACCAATTACCTGAATGCCTTGGGAATTCAACCATATCTCCGATTGCTCACCCCGACCTCGTCACCTAAACATCATAGCAAAACCAAACCGCCCAAGGCTCGAATTCCTGCACCGAGATGAGGTTGTCTCCATTCTCATCGGCGCCTTCAGCGTCGATCATCTCCTCAGCCGCCGCGGAGGTCTCCGCCACGGAGAGACGGCGACGGCTGCGGAGACCGCGGGCTGCGGTCGTTGCAAAGGCCGGCGGTCAGCGAAAAGAAGCGTTCGTTTCCCCTTGGAAGAATGCCTCCTTCGGATGTGAAGAACTCCCCACCTGAGATCCCCTGAGATTCTCAAAGAAAACATATGTCCCTGGTCACCCAAACCAGAAAGAGGTGGAGAGACCTGAACTGCGACCCGAACAACCTCTCTAGGCCAAAGCTGTTGATGAAACAAACCACCGTCTATGTCGCCTGATTTGGGCTAAGCCGTTCGGCTTAGAAGATCCAACCCCTCCGTTCGCCTGCTCTTCGGAGCCGGCCGGTTTCCGCGTGTCATGCCTGCTCTTCGGCTCGACTTAAGGAGGTCTTAATATTTCTGAGAGAAACCCCCATGTAAAGGACATCTTGAGGTCTGTGCTTCAGAGTAGAACCACTATAATGATCTGTTTTGGGAAGAGCCGTCGGGGGCCCCACCGGCGGGACGGACATTGGGAGGACCTGGGAGACCTCGGCTGAGCCCGGGCGACGAAGAGCACCCTCTTGGCGAAGTCGATTTGGATCTGTTCGTGCTCGCAGCTGGCCACGGTCTGCACGGCCTCCACCAAGACGCCCACCAACCTTGGGAACTTGGGGGCTGAGCGGGTATGGGCTGACATGAACGAGCCAGGCAGGTCTCTCCAGATTCTCTCCTTCGCAGGTTATGCCATATCTGGTTGCAACATGTTGCAGCCATCCCTTCAAACCCGATGGATGTCGTAAAGCTCCAAACAAGCCAACATCCCCGAATACACCCCTTCAGATTCACAACACCCCTGTGACGACCAAACGCCTGACATGGGGTACCTGAGTACCCATGATAGGAGTCATGTAGAGAGTTGCTTAAATAACACCCGCGTCTCCAGAATGCCTTTGCATCTCCACATGGGGGTTCTTTTTTCAACAGCCTTCCCACTGCCCAAGGATGAGGCCGTTTGTCGCGCTCATGGATCAAGTCGCGGCATGAACTCTGCAGTTGGTCACGGTCCCCACATGCCATCCCTCTTCCTCACCTAGCCTAGTAGAGGAAGTTTCACTTCAGACCTCCTTCCAACCTGCCCAAGGTCTGCCCAACTCATCCGTCACCATCATCGGAATTTAGGGTCTCTCAGGCTCCACGCACTGAACACATCTCTCTCGTTCGGTGGCCGGAGGGTCCGTGTCGCCACTGATCAATACCAGGGCACATGTTCATGATGATCAACGAGCCGACCATGATGAACACCACGTACAAGACACCAAAATACCAATCCTCTGCCACCACCTGGGTCAGTGAGCTAGTACCCTTGTTTCGATGCATTGACTGAGTCGGACCAGCAAGCCTTGACAGCAGGATGAAACACAAGAAGCTGGTCATCAGTGGTGTGTTCAGAAGAAATCAACCTCTTACATCCTGCTTTGGGGGTCAGTACTGTACGTAGGAGCCTACCTGGAAGATATCACCCAGAAATCATCGATTGACGACTAACTAATATGGTCCAAGGCTTGACTCCCGTCCCGTCCCCCTTCGGCTTCCGATTTCTGTTTGACATCCAAAGCGGAGAAAAGGCTCACACGTTCTCCGGGGACACCCCTGAGAACTCGTTCTCTCGTGGCCTCCAAACATGGTGATGCCCTCTGGCAGAGCCCTCCCGATCTTTTCACCCATTTCCCTTTCTTGATTCGGTGAAGGGCGGGTGAGCTGAGCAGCTGAACTTCCACAGAGTATCGGCGAGGTTCTTCGGCGAGCGAGGTTCTTCGGCGAGCGAGCGATCGCTCGGCCCACCTCTCGGTAGAAGCCCTCCTGGTCGGGCATCACGCTGTGCAGGATCAAATTCCTCAAAAAGTTTCGCCGAAGCCCCTTCGACCCACCCCCCGAGCGTTTCGGGGTCGGAAATTGGTCCTGAAGGAGGTCACAGGAGTTGCGTTATGTTTGGAAAGGGAACATCAAGAGGCAATCTGGTTGAAATCTTGGAATGATCCGGCCTGGTGCCTTATCTTTCTTGAGGCTGAAGGATTTGCAGGCTGAAGGAAGAAGAGTGAAACAAACATCAAGTGCATTGCATGGATGTTCACAGAGTGTTGCCATACGGTCCGCTCGGCACGAACCGCGTGGAAGCGCAACTGGCTCTGTCGCCGTCAGCGAAATGTACCTGAAACCAACCTCTTTAAAGCAGTTTCAGCCCATTTTGAGATTGAAACAAAACATACCAAAACACAAGAAGGTTCTCAGAAAGCAATGACAGCTTGTTCACCTTTGAAGCACATCATGCATGCATTCCACAGGTATTCATGATTTTGTTGGTCTCCTTCAAGAACAGGACGTTCGTTCTACCAGAGGTGATAGATCAACAAATCCATGCATACGTGTTTACTTTGACCTGATGGAAGGTGACCAATCTTTATGAAGGCACTCACTAGAAAAAGGGCTAATGTAGACTCTTGACCAAAGAACGTCACCCATATGAAGAGCAATCCAAATGGGGAGATTTTATGAATCAAGCCATCCCACTCATCTCCCGCCCGCGCCCGATAGAATCTCAGCTCATTCAGTTCAGGATCAGCACTGCAATATGCACTTTCGGAAAATACATGGCGGCGTCCTCAGTGACGCGCGCGTAGAGGGTGCGGCGTCCATCAGCCGTCGATGAAGGAACCACATCAACACATGAAACCCCTCGGGAACCAGGTGCAAACCCCACATAACCCCCTACCCACCCCTGAGCCCTGCCGGTCATGTCCGAACCCTTCCTGAACCCAGTGGGATGATGTGGTACTCACCGTGACGGTGTCCACATCGTCGTAGAGGGTGGGTGGAGGTGGAGGTGGGCAGTGGTGGTTCGAGCTTCAAATCGATGCCGGAACCTTCTGAGTGGCCTGGGTGTCCAAAGCTTCCCTGGGTGTCCAAAGCTTCCCTTCACCAAGTCTCTAGTGAGGTATCCCGACTCAGCTGCGTCAACGTGATGCCTCAGCCGGTGAACACAAGGAGCGGAAAGAAGCAACTGCTTTCAGCGGAGGCAGAGACCTGGGAAGCCCAGTCCCAAGAGGAACCTGGCCATACCTACCTGGCCATCTGTTTTGAATCTGGTGAACTCTTGAGACTGTTCACAGGCGCCTGGGTGCCCTGACAAGGCTGTGATCTGTGACCGTTTTACTGGAAACTTCGGGGGTTCCAGCGCGAAAAGGACTAAGGACTGCACAATAATTTTGGGCTTCCGTAGGTCAAAAAGGGAATTCCCTTTTTAAGAAGCATGTGCTGGAACAAATGTCGATTCATTCTTGGTGCTACTAGCTGCGACTAACACAACGAAAGCATGACATTCATTCTGGAATTCCAACATGGGCCTCCCTTCCGCAACATTCCCCTGTGGAGGCCCTCAATGAGAACCGCAGCACAGAACAGTGGGATACTGGCCTTGCACGTCACAGCCGGTATCACCTACCTGATATCTAAATGCTTGATGTTTGATCCCCCCTGGCGCAGTTGAGAAGGACGAAAGGATTTTCCTCGGCCTGAGGTTTTGCTGTTCCAATCTAGTCAGCGTGTAAGCCCTCATCCTTTTCGGTCACGTTCCCAGATCTCATCTTGGCGCTGTAGGGTCCCACAAAATACATCCAGAGGCAGCCAAACATGCCTTTTGAAGGCCCCCACTCCAACCTGAACTGACCAGAAGTGAAAAGCGGCTGAAGATGTAGGTGATCAACAGCAGGAGCACCAAGGTGAAGAACACGGAGCGTGCGGCCACCTGAACTCAAAAACTTTGGGTTCCATCATATCTGCAGAACTTGTGGGATCGAAAACGCCAGCTACCCTGACGGATCAAACACCCCATGTGGCCTGCGGGGGTACAGGAGATCCAGACATCGACCCTTCGTGACTGTTAGTGCCACTGAGGACTGAGAGGGCTTTCACCGCCGTGTGCCACTGGAGACGCATCTCCGGCCATCGTCCGTCTACATCCCAATCGTCCGCGCTGTAAGCACGGGGGCGGTTTCCCCGAACGTTTTGGGTTCAAACGCGGGGATGGAGATCACAAGCTCCCTGGCATGCCCAGGAAAAGCACAGGGAAGGCCAAAGGGAAGGACCTTTTGGGCGGAGAAAAGCTGGTCCTTTTCAGCTGCGAGTCGTGGACACCTAGGTAATGTCTAATGTAGACTGATGTTGACTGATGGAGCCTACATCAAATCCAAATGGAGAGGTTGAATCCATCAAGTCTACATGTACATCTCGAGCAATCGTTCGCGATTGCTCAGCTAGATCCATAGATCTTCATCCCAAAAAGTCGCTCAAAAGAGATCGATCCAGCCCCCTTCAGAGCCTCAGAGGGGCCCCACTACAATGCCCAACACATGCTCACTAAGCATGCCCAACGAGTTAGCGTTGTGCTTCATTGTGCTTCAGTCGATTTGAGGCACATACCCTCCTAAGTGACACCATCCAAACGGAGGAAGCGGCTTGCCAAGGTGCCATCAAACCCTTGATCAAAATCATCAGCTCGGGCATGTACCGTGCCACTCGAATGATCCTGGCCGTGCGTAAGACCTCAGAAGCTCGGAGCCGACGAAGCGGTTCCGCGGACTTGTCGCGCTCGCGACAGGGCGGGCGGCAGTTCCCGGCAGTGCTTAGACAGTGCTTCTGAAAAAGCCCATGTGGTTGAAGAAGCATCAGTTCCCGAAAAGAGAGAGGACCATAGCAATTGAACAAAGAAATTCTGATCAGCTTCATTTTTTCTCTACTAAGAACGCTGGTGTATCCCCTTTGTCCTTCCTCACGCGGCCCCCCATGAGCCACAAATGACCGCAACTTTCTTACAAATAGGTAAACCTTGCAACATGTGAGCAAGCAACTTCACCCATCCCCAACTTGTTGGATCTTGTTGGTACATGTTGACCTCTAAAATTCTTCCAAGTCAACGAACCCCTCATCCTCCCCCGCACCCAGCCCCTCATCCGTCACCACTGCCAAGTCGCCCGGAGCACCTTCAGCACCCGCAGCACCGACGCAGAGCGCCCGAAGCCGGTGCCGCTGCCGGCGAGGCCCTCAATGACCTCGTGCCGGTGAGGTGTCGGTGGGGTGGTTGAACAGTGGAATGCTGAATTGGCACTCGACGACGCACGTGGCACGAACGTGCTACTCCGGGCGAATTTTTAGCACGTGGAAACCCTCGCCTGATCGAATTGGGGTGAAAGTTGAGCCCTCTGTTTGGGGGGACCTGTCCATTCGTTGACCTGTCGGTTTGGCAATCGCAAGTGAATCGGCCCGTGGGCGGAACGCGACAATCGAAGGATTGGGGCCCTTCGAAATGTAGGTAGGCCTCAAGCTACCTGTTCGTTTAAAGGACATTTCAACGGGGATGGATTTCTTTGGATTTTGGGGGGCTGGCAGTTCACAAAACAAGTGGCCTCATGAAAGGGACCTGATATCACAAGGAAGCTTCATGAAGCTTCGGTGACTGATTTGCGCAGTAGATCTTAGTAGCATGATCTTGTGTCTTCTTCTCTGCACCCAGATTCCATCACAAGAGCGTCTCGCACCCACCCAGGAGTCGACATCTATACAGTACCCACACATATACATTTACATATATAATATATATATATTATATATATGTAAATATAAAGTATATTACATAATACTTATGTCCCAGACCCACCGTTGAGGCATTTCACCGACCCAGCCTCAAAAGCTGCTGAAGAGAGGTGACTTGTGGGGGTTGAGGGGCCATCGCATCGAAGAGAGTCTGTTCTTGGGCTCCAGTTGACAAGTACTAGACTACTACCAGCACCTTCCAACAGGTGGTTTCTGGACACCCCTTAACTTTTAAGACCAAGAGGCTATTTATAGACACCTCGTGGAAGGTCCTGGTATAGACTATAGACATGTATAACCGTCTACAACTCTCGATCACCTCCAGTCTGGCGGCAATGTCAATCAAAGGCATTAGCCATGTCTCAGCAACCTCAGCAATCGTTTGGCTCAAGCACCAAAGAACCGCATCCGTTCACGGATGTTTATGGTTGTTCCCAAAGGACGCCCAACACATCCCCAAGGATTTCTTGGATTGGCTGTTCAGGAGCCTCGAAAATACCGACCACGTTCCCCATGCCGGGGGATTCGTTCCCCATGCCAGGGGATTCACCCCAGTTGGACAACATCTACAATCATCCAAATTGAGCAATATCAGGGCATTTGTGGGCAGCTTTTGTCGGACGTGAAGTGGCCGGCGGAGCAACACTGGAGGAATGATCACAAGGCTCCAGCAGCCCGGCTTCAGAGCTGAAACATCGCTCGGCTCTACGAAAGAGTGCCGTTCCAAACTCCGTTGAGATAGACTCGACCGATCTGCCGGATGCCTTCGGGAGCGGGTGGAACGGTTGTGGTGGGACACCTGCCCAAATAGTGATGGAGAAAGGATCACTCTTTTGGATTTCTTTTGGTCTCCAATCTCTTCGGAACACGCCAGGTCGGGACCTACCCACGAATGAGCTGGGAACCATGATGAACACCAGCAGGAAGTCGAAGGAGAACCAGGCATCTTTGAATGCGTGCCTCGCTCGCTCGCTTGTGCCCGCGCGGGGTGCCATCTCTAGGGGCCAGGACATGAACAGACCTCAAACCGCCCCCCCGGTGGATTCGCGACCCTTGCTGTGGGTCACCACATGTTCACCACATGTGAACTCACCCAAGTTCCGACATCTCCCATGGATTTGTTTTGGGGGCGTTCTTTCCAAGCTTGGGATCGCCGCTGAGGGGAGCAACCCAACTATACCCAACTTACTTCCCACCTGATCTCACAAGCTCTTTCAACTTCTCCGCATCCCACATGCCCATGCAAGTCGGGCAGGCGCCTGGTGGAGATATAGGCCATGTATCCTTCAGAAGCACACCGGGTGCGTGCTCAGTCCGACAGCGCGACATGGGCAGTTATGGGTGCAGTTACCGCAGGCGAGGGGCGAGGGCTCGTGGGAGGTCCCAGAACTGTGGAGAGGAAGATGGGAGAAGCAGGTCAAGGAGGTAGGTGCTCGAGTTCCCTAGTCTAGACGTGGGCACACAAGGGGTGAGTAGTATAGGAGGAGGTTCTCCCCTGAACGCCACTCACATCTGAGATCTTGCAACAGGGGCAGCACTTGCAGTCAAGCATCGGCAAAGGAGCTCGCCGCAGAAGTAAATACCAAAGATAATCTCCATGAGGATAAAAATGACGGACGCATCCAAAATGATGAGGGCCTCAGAAACCAGACGGCTTCACTGAATAAACACTTCAGGCGTCCCTTCGTGTTGCCTAGTGTTTTCTGCACATCATGGCCCCAAGCTTCCCAGGATTGGTCACCAACCCAAGCAACACGTGGAAAGCCCCAAAAGCCCTTTGATTTCTTCCAAGAGACGGAGTTGTAGTCGATGTCCACTGCAATCCAAATCGCATTGAAGAAAATCATCGTCAGGCCAACCTGGTCAGTGTCACAAGTCTCCAGCAAGAAGCACTAAAACACACCCAACAAAACAAGCCAGTCGTTATTTTTCTGCTTGTCTTTTTGTGTTCTCCCCTAGGCCATGTGCAGGGCATTTGCGAATTCCACATCGTCTGGAAATAAAGACCTATACATATACATACACACAAAAATAACAGTTCACCTTGCAGCCTGCCAAGACCTCCTGGTACAGCATTGAACGTTCGGAGAAAACCTCTTCAAGCATACCGAAAAATAGCGTCGTTGGCGCCGTTGGACCAATCTTCGGCCGTTGCACATCGCCCGGCCTTTTCAAACCAAGGGTTTGAAATAATATTTGTCCAGCGACAATCCTTCCTGCACCAACAGAAACGGGGGAATTTGCACGTGTGGTCCCGAAGGGCACGTGTTGGACACATTTAGAAGCAAAGGAAGTTGGACAGCGGTCTCGCCGCGAGTGCTGCCTGTGTTGCTCCTGTTTGTCGTTATAGAATTAGAATAGGGAGAATTTGCAAAGAACTGAAGTGGGAAAGGCCAAAATGTGGTTGGAGGGCCCCCCCATTCGAATGCACACTCTTTGACAATTGCTTTTGATCTTTTGTGGGAGCTGCGCAACATATTCAGCCTTCCGGCGGAACGTGCTCACCCAGTTGAAGCATTTTTCAGTCTCAGGCCAGGTTGCAGATAGTGGGACCCGGCTTAGGATGGCCATTGGATGTATGATGTCTTCCTTAATTCCCCAATAGCCATGCTATGGGGTCTTGCAAAACTAATAGGCGGACGAGCGCCGTCGGGTCACCGTCAGAGCTGGTGGGCGGATGGTGTCCCGGTCATGTTTTGATGGCGTCCGGGTCATGTGATGCTGGTGTCCCGGTGTCCCGATCATGTATTGATCGTGACCTAATCATGTTGTGATGGTGTCCCGGTCCTGTTTTGATGGTGTCCCGGTCATGTATTGATGGTGTCCCGGTCATGTTGTGATGGTGTCCCGGTCATGTTTTGAAGGTGTCCCGGTCATGTTTTGATGGTGTCCCGGTCGTGTTGTGACGGTGTCCCGGTCGTGTTTTGATGGTGTCCCGATCATGTGATGGTGGCGCGGTCATGTTGTGATGGTGTCCCGGTCATGTTTTGATGGTGTCCCGGTCGTGTTGTGACGGTGTCCCGGTCATGTTTTGATGGTGTCCCGATCATGTGATGGTGGCGCGGTCATGTTGTGATGGTGTCCCGATCACGTTTTGATTATGTCCCAGTCATGTTGTGATGGTGTCCCGGTCCTGTTTTGATGGTGTCCCGGTCATGTTTTGATGGTGTCCCGGTCATGTTGTGATGGTGTCCCGGTCATGTTTTGATGGTGTCCCGGTCGTGTTGTGACAGTGTCCCGGTCATGTTTTGATGGTGTCCCGGTCCTGTTGTGATGGTGTCCTGGTCATGTTTTGGCGGTGTGCCGGTTATGT